GAAGATCAGCTTAAGAGTGACACATTTATTTCTTCATAGTTTTCAAGAGAATCTATTTTCATGATATGTTCGTTAATACATCATCGGGCTTGAGAAAAATTGGGCCATAACCCAAACGCAGTTATTGAGGCCTTGGATTTTTTGGAACTCAATATCTGTAAGAACTTCGAGAGCACTAGTAAAATTCTTATATTATGTCAAAATAAGAAATATTTTTATTTTTATTACGAATTAAAAAATACATATATATTCAGATTAACAATTACTTATTTCCTTATAAGTAAACATTTTAAGCATAGCCAAAAATGTAAGTGGAGACAAGGCTTCCGTTTTAGCTAAGATCAGGAGGTAGGTTCAATTTGACAACAGGAAGAGTAAATATTAGAAATGACGAGGATTTCCTGCTTCACAATGCAAGTAAGTAATATAGAACAAACAATATTTTTCTCACAAAATCCAATTTTCTTGATCCCAACACACCCTTGCCAATTTTCTTGAAGGGTTTGTCCAACAATAAAAGAACTTAAAAACACACCCTTACCAACTGCCATCTAAATGCTATATAAGAGAGAATTGAAACAAGTAAAAAGGGATCAACAAATGCTTCCTAATCGATATTAACATGCGTTTGTCACTCATAAGAGAGGGCAGAAAGCTACAAATTCCAAGATCTTGAACAAAATTTCAAATCCTCAAACTTCGCCGATTCAAGTTGGCTTCTTATACCTAGCATTTATCATATACGGACCAATTATAATTAATTAAAAAGATATCAAAAGATTTTCATAGTCACATACACACGCTCACATGTTTCAATTATATTCCCATCATGTTTGGTTCAGTATCTACATTGTGCTCACTCAAAGTTGGATGAATCGTCCGATAATGCCAAATACACTCCTATTTGCTTCAATGCACAATTTTCATCATACAATCGAATGACTACGGTTACAATCCATCCATCCATTCAATTTTGATCTTAATTTTCACAAGGATGAAGAAAACCTATTGAATAATCTCTTTAACCCAAGACTACAGCTACTATCCCCTTTTGAAAACCAATGGTTGTTAGGGTAGCTAGCTCAAAATCGTCCGATAATGCCAAATACACTCCTATTTGCTTCAATGCACAATTTTCATCATACAATCGAATGACTACGGTTACAATCCATCCATCCATTCAATTTTGATCTTAATTTTCACAAGGATGAAGAAAACCTATTGAATAATCTCTTTAACCCAAGACTACAGCTACTATCCCCTTTTGAAAACCAATGGTTGTTAGGGTAGCTAGCTCAGCAAGGACAAATGCATGTCAGAATTGAACTTGATCTGGCTCTCCCTAGTCTAACCTAGGCCATGTTAATTTTTAAGTATCCCTCCTTCTGACTTGTTATATTTGAATCACATTGATCTAATAAATGGGAGTTCTTTAGGTCCATGCAAAACACACCTCAAACACTTGGATCATTCCCTCAATTTTGTCCTAAATTGGAGCTAGTTGCCATCTTCACTTGTTAGCATTATTTGTTATTTTATCTATTCTAAGATTGCCACATGTCCATCTTAATACATTGATCATGGGGCTATTGTGTTCTATAACAGCCTCACACCCGGGTATCATAAAACAAACGTGGTTAAAAGACCATTTTATTGAATGTCTCTTTAACTTTATTGATCCTCCAATCGTATCAAGGAAACCAGCAGTGAACTGCCTCTAAGTTAATGTTCCACAGCCAGAAGTTGGTAAAAATGTTTCTTGGTTTGCATCAAAACGACATCAAATTCTTCCCCTGTTAATATCATAAAAAGTGAAGATTTCTCACAGTCCTATTTATACTTGATAGAAAGTTATACACTGAACAATGAGATTACTGTCATGAAAAAAATAATAATAATAAAACCAGCAGTGAACTGCCTCTAAGTTAATGTTCCACAGCCAGAAGTTGGTAAAAATGTTTCTTGGTTTGCATCAAAACGACATCTAATTCTTCCCCTGTTAATATCATAAAAAGTGAAGATTTCTCACAGTCCTATTTATACTTGATAGAAAGTTATACACTGAACAATGAGATTACTGTCATGAAAAAAATAATAATAATAAAGAGAGAGAGAGAGAGAGAGAGAGATCACTAACTGAACCTAAACAAGTTGTATTACACATGAAGTTCAAAGACAGATGTAGAATACCTCACGGAGGTGCCAAAATTTTACCTCCTCCAGATCACCTTTCCGAGCACAAATATGAAGCTGAGTCCAATCCCGATCATCCTTGTTGCCTCCCTGCCCGAGCAATGATCCGCTCCTATTTGAACACAGCTCAAACTCTGGCATTACAGAATCTTTCTTTCCTTCTTTATATCCAAGAAAGAAAACAATACTTCCCCCCCCACAAACTTTAACTCAAAACTTCACCGCTCCCGTTTGAGTCAGTTCAAAATGACTTGAACCCAAGCGCTCTAACATTAATCAGAGGTTTGAACTTCAAACACCTAGAATATCTTTTCTATCTTGAATGATTCAAGAAAAAAACCTGAAAATTTATCAATGATTGAAGCCTAAAAAACCTCTACTTCATGGATTTTGACGTTTAGATAAGTCTATTGTTTGGAGATCGATCCAATCCATAATGCCCTGGCATCGTTCTTCATCATGTGCTACCAAATCAGCTAACTTGGTAAACGCAAGGCACAATTGGTCATATCTAACCTGCTCGGGAGTACTAATCCAACCATCGTAATTGATCGGAACCCTCGTATAGGGTCTATTCACATCTCTCCTCCATCTCTTCAATATATACTTCTCAGGAAGTAATGCCACATCATTACGAATTAAAACCGATATAGCATGCTTGCAAATAATTCCTCTAAACTCAAATAAGTGACAACTGCACTCAAATTCGCATTCATCCCTACGAAATAACACTTTAAATATTTTTTTCTTCATACCACCATTGAAGATGATATCCTCACGTACCTCATAAATGGTATGCAAGTATGAATCTTGAGCAGATAACACTTCACAATAAACCTTTCCGGTAAATTCTTCTTGAAACTCCTTGAACTTCGAGATTGTATACACTGATTGGAATTGCTTCTCCATTTCGTACCTCGTTACACATGGGACCATTTGTGAAAATGATTTGAAATCAGCATGAAACTCCTTTTCAACTTTACTTCTCAATGCGCGCTCATATTGCTCTACAAATTGCTTTAGGGATGTTTTTGAATGAACATAACCGTCAAAAAAAGCATTCATGCTCTCACTTCGTTGAGTAGTTGACATACCAGCCCAAAATGATGTTTTCAAAAAGCATGGTACCCATCGACTTCTCTCATTGTATAATCCAGTCAACCAACCATGTTCTTGCAATTTATAATCTTCAAGCATTTTGTTCCAACCTTGTTCAAATTCCTCACAAGTTTGTGTATCGTACACCAACCCATGTACAGCAGAAAGAATAGAACCTTTATGATTGTGGTTGCCAATTTTTTCTGGTAATTTCTTTAAAATATACCATAAGCACCATCTATGCTTTGTGTTTGGAAAAACGATTTCAATTGCATTTTGTATAGCCCGATCTTGATCTGTAATTATTCCATTTGGAGCTTGATCATGCATACACTCAAGCAATGTCTTAAATAGCCATACAAAAGTCATTGCATCCTCATTCGAAACCAAACCACATCCAAGCAATATTGATTGTCCGTGATGATTCACCCCAACAAAAAAAGTGAAAGGTATATCGTAATTGTTAGTCAAGTATGTGGTGTCAAATGTAACTACATCACCAAATTCCTTATACGCTTGTCTACACCTGTTATCTGCCCAAAACACGTTCCTCAATCGGGCCTCTTCATCCAAGTCTATACTAAAATAGAAACCAGGACTACTTGTTTGCATCTTCGAAAAATATGCTTGTAATGCAATAGTGTCTCCTTCACCAAGTTTTAACTGCCGCACTTTGTCAATGAAATTTCCACTATCCTTTTCAACGCATACCTTCTTTTCAGATCTACCAGCCTTACTTTTGTGTGATTGAATACCAGCAGTGTCATTTATTTCAAGCCGTCTTTTCGTGCGTGCACTAATTTGGCGATTGCATCGATATAGTCTAGATTTGGATGGGCTTATTTTGTGGTTGTGCTCGAGATGGACACTGTTAATACGCCACGTTCCACAAATTTCTGAACTTGCTGCCAATCTCGCTTTACACCCAGTTTGGATGGTTGGTCGAGGCTTTAGAGAAGAACTTGAAGCACTGATTCGATGGCCTTCTCGACTACACGTAAAAGTTACATAACGTAGAACCCCGTCATCACCCTTCTTCGAATTTCTTTTTCTTACGGGAAAACCGACTCGATAAGCGTAATTTTTGTAAAATTCAAAAATCTCATTTTCATCTTTAAACTTCATTCCAACGACGGGCACAATGTCACTTTCTTCCCCTAAGCTTTTATCATTCGGATTGTCATCATTGGATGAATGAATATCCAGACATCCTGCATAGAAGAAGAAAAGACCATAAAACTTGTCAGTTGCCACGACACAGCTTGGCACAAGAACATTCAAACAAAGTCTGCTACGTGCAAGTATACATTATTGCTACTATTATATACATGAATGGACGGGAAATTACTATCTTATAGTTCAATTTTGAGGTAGTTGTATAATCTGGTTCTCTGTAAAAGCTCTGTAATAATCTCCGTAGTTGTATAATCTGGTTCTCTGTAAAAGCTCTGTAATAATCTCCCATGGGGACTTCTGCTTTGTTACTCTCATCTCTCTCGTCCGGGACTAGTGAAATTGAGTAGCTATAATTTTTCTTCGTTGCTTCATAGTCCGAAGCTCATATTCACTGCTAAGCCCAGAAAAACTGCATTTCGGAGATGCGGGTTTTAAGTCCCCAGTAGCTCAGAAATCATTTGACCACATACCCAAACAGCTCCGAGGAGAATCTTAAGGATGGATGTAAGTTTTTCCTTCGGGCGCCGTTTTTATGCTCTGATTTAGGGCTTGTTAAATTTCAGCTTGTGCGTTTTGGCATCTTGGGTATTTGTTTAAGCTTCCAACAATAGGTAGTTTTTGGGGTTCATACTTAGAAAGAAACTCAAAAAGCACTCATTTACCGGAAGATACGAACAAACTGAAAATTTTAAATGAACATTAAGAACAATAAATGTTACCAGTTTTGTCGCCGGCGTCGATGTTGCCGGCTTCGTTGATTGTGCTCTCATTTCCTTCCATTTTGATCTGCTTTTCTCTATGGAGTGGGTTTGGGGTCGATTGCAAATGTCGGGGAAAAGGTGTAGGGTTCACAGAAAAGGGCATTTCTTTTTCATTTTTTTTTAAATGACAGCCGATATTTTGATTTAGTCAAAAGTCAGCCACGTCAGCAGCCGTAATCACTTGGAGAAATGTAACAGTGTGGAATTTCATTTGGGAATTTTATTTTTTTATTTTTTTATTTTTTTATTATTATTATTTTTTTGACGAAAAACCTGCATCCGCTACTTTTCGAGTGCGCAGTGAATAAACCCTCGAACTAATGCAATAACTTGTAAATCACGCCAATAAAGTTTCATTTGGGACTTTTATGTAAATTAGGGGAATGGTTGTAAGTGACTGGAATAGGCAAAAATGTGACTTTGTTTCGAGATATATATATATATATTGTGACATTTTTATTTATGAAAAAAAGGTAAAAGAAAGAAAATTGTAATCTTTTTTATTTTTTTATTTTTCATGTTCTTATCGAGTATAGTCATGCTTGCGAAATTTTATATACTTGTAATGTTTATTCTCCCTGTTGTATTCCACAACTCTTCCTATGCTAAAATTCAACCCTTCACAATTTAAAGCTTTTTTTAAATATAGATTATTCATGATTTCTTTTAAAAGTGAAGAAAAGTTACGAGGCTCGTTAAAAAAAATCTTTGACAAACAAGTCTTCGATGTAACATTCGTTTTTAAGGATGATAATTTCGACAATGATCACAAGTTTGGGCTAGACTCTTGTAGTAGAGTTGCTTTCGCTAAATTTTGAAAGATGTTCTTTAATAGTTATACTTAGCTTTCTGTACAATTATTTCAATACATGAATCTTTTTCGAATATTTTAGTTGTGCACTATTGATGGTATGAATTAATCTACTTGTACCAAATGTCTTACCTAATTTTTGACCGAATTGACAAGTGATATCCACTCAATAAGGGCACGACACTTGTCAATTCGATCATCCATTTGGTAAATGATTTGGTACATATAGCATCTCCCTTGATGGTATATACGAAGGGAAGTACAATGTGTACACAATAATGTACACACAGCATTACACCCCTTTCACATAGAGGACCAATTATTTCAATACATGAATCTTTTTCGAATATTTTAGTTGTGCACTATTGATGGTATGAATTAATCTACTTGTACCAAATGTCTTACCTAATTTTTGACCGAATTGACAAGTGATGTCCACTCAATAAGGGCACGACACTTGTCAATTCGATCATCCATTTGATAAATGATTTGGTACATATAGCATCTCCCTTGATGGTATATACGAAGGGAAGTACAATGTGTACACAATAATGTACACACAGCATTACACCCCTTTCACATAGAGGACTTATATACAATAAGATATTTGTTGGCCCTTCTCCTTGTGAGGGGGTGTAATCCATTATCTACACCTTATGACGTACACATAGAATTATCCATATAAGAAATGATCATATTGAATATTATCGTTCCACGACTCAATGCCTTATTGGGGATTTATCTCACAGACATCAGTCTAGCGATGAAGCAAACAAAATGATAACACTCAAAAAACCATATAGCACGATTTTTTCAATTTTAGGATGTCCCATCATGTTAGTACACGCACCACAGAACAATGAACAAACAAATATGTCTCTTATTTACTTTTCTTTTGCTATGCGCAGTAACAATTTATTCTTATAAACATGGCAGAGAAACTCTTCAATTTGATTCAAATGTGAGTCCGAATAACAATTTTTTAAGTACTTCACACGAGCAACCGGTTCTTTCAGGAAGAAGAAGGGATTATTCCGAGTTGCTAGGAGGCTTTTCTTTCGGATGCTTGGACCCATAGTGATCAATGAGCTGATTACTTTTTCAATTTTAGGATGTCCCATCATGTTAGTACACGCACCACAGAACAATGAACAAACAAATATGTCTCTTATTTACTTTTCTTTTGCTATGCGCAGTAACAATTTATTCTTATAAACATGGCAGAGAAACTCTTCAATTTGATTCAAATGTGAGTCCGAATAACAATTTTTAAAGTACTTCACACGAGCAACCGGTTCTTTCAGGAAGAAGAAGGGATTATTCCGAGTTGCTAGGAGGCTTTTCTTTCGGATGCTTGGACCCATAGTGATCAATGAGCTGATTATAATATTCATAATACCTCATTAACCCATCTTTATATTACTGGGATACAATTAAGTCAAAAGAGATTCAGACCTTGTTCCTGATTCCATTAGGAAAAAAAACAGTTAAAATACTTTATACGATGGATCAATTATTTAAAAAGTTGATTAATTATTAATTAGGTTAAGAATAAATTATCACACAGCAATAATCAGGTTGGTCTAGCCAAACGGATGCTCAAAGGAACCATCAGAAATTACAAATATTGGAACCCGGGATGATCTGATGATCAACGAATAATATTGCACTAAAACAAATAATTTATAAATACAAAACAGGCAGAAGAAGATTAATTACTTTACAGACGGGGCAGACGACTTTGAGGCCAACAGCACGGGCCTCGAGCTGAGACCCTCTGGCCTTCTGATTCTTCTCTGCATTTTTTCTCTGCGCCTCGATCTTCTGCTTTCCCCGAGTCATCTCTCTCTATAACTCACTGTGTTGTAAGTCCGTTGATACAGTCGGTCTTCAAAATTGGATGATGGGGCGAGTCAAATGAGAATGATGGAGAAAGGGGGCTGAACACCGGGTCAACTCCTGGTCAAAATCGATCCGTGTGTTTGGGTGGAATTCAATTGAGACTTTTAGAGAGTGAAAAAATTTGGGTATATTCAATTGAAATTTTTAGAGACTCTTTAAAAGTTTGAGTGTATTCAATAGGGATTTTTATAGACTTTTAAAAAACCTCCAAAAGTTATGGGGTATTCAATCGAAACTTTTTAGAAGTCTCTACAAGTTTTGAGATATTCAATTTAGAGGGACTTTCAAGAAATTTAAAATTTCTTGGACTTTCAGAGACTTTTTTATAGAAAATATAAATAGAATTTTTCTCCCAAAATCTCTCATCCATCGATAGATATTTAAAAAGAGTCTGCTCTTCTTATTTCCCTCTACGTTTTTCCTCGATCTCTTCCAATTAGGTATTTCTTTGAATCTTTGCTATGAGTTTTCTTCCAATCAGGTTATGGTGAATTTTCACTAGTTGATCTCTATCTCTCCCTCTAATTTCAAAGATTCGTTTTTAAGTTATTGTCGACTCGTCTCAATTGTGAAGTACAGGGCATAATTCAAGTTGATTTTGATGAATCCGGATTTTCATCCATTGAGATACTATCAGAAACAGGATCGCAGACACGCACGCAGCAGATGATATGGGACTATATATATCGAAATCATAGGTTTGATATGTGATTTATTAAGATATCTTATCATGAAGTACATGATGAAAGCAATTTTACTATGTTGATGATACAGGAGATTGCAAATACGCAGTATAGATGCACTATTTCTTTCTGATACTGGAGCACAAGATTTTGTTTTTGTTAATTTTTATAGATTTTTTATTTTATTTATTCGATCTTATTTTCTCCAGCTGGATTATATTATATCCCCAAACAGGCTTTATGCGGCATGTAACTTTTGGAGATAATCTTAATAATTTTTTTTATAAATCTGTGTGTGATTTGCTAGTTCATCTTATTCAATTGTTTGTCTCGTATTTACAAGGGTTCGGGGGACGGGTTGAAGGTGACATTAACATTAAAACACAAGTAAACATGCGCCAGAGTTGCGTAGAAGAAGGATCGAAGGTCAAGTGTAGTTTTTTTTTTTTGAAAAATGAGTGGTTGAAAGAGAGAAAAGTTTTTGATTTACGTGTAATATTATTTTATGGAAGATTGTATGGTTGAAAATAGAAGAAAGAGAAATAAAATGTAATGTAATTTAATGAGGGCCAAACGGAGGCTTAAGAACTCTTTCTCAGTGATATTTGAGAACTCTGGCTTGGAAAGGGCGATACAGCTTAGGCATTTATTTCAATATTGTAGAGAGAGAAACGAGAGAGGTTTTAAGGCACCGCGAAGGCTATATGAGACTAGAGGCTATACTGTCAATACAATTTTTTTGGTGGATTTATAAAAAGCACAGTGATCATTGTTTTTCGTGATAGTATATAGAATTGGGAAGTGTAGAGTTGAATAGTGTTTTTTTCTACATGGAATTGCAACGCATCTTTGCTTATCAAATCAAACAAAAACTAAACTGCTTAGGATTCCTTCTCCCTGCTTTCGAAATCAAAGCCGTACTGCAGAAATACCTCTGGCTAAACAAGAGACTATACCCTAATTAAAAGAGAAAATGAACCTTTATCTGGGTGTGAGGGTGGCGGAAGGAATGTTAATAAAGGATGTTCTAAATTAACAAGAATGGAAAGAATGTTTTTTCATGTGACTGGCACTTAACCAGTAAAAGGGATATCCAAACAGAAAAGCAAGCATCTATATACCCATTTAGCAAGTAGAGGGACCTCAGAGTACTCCCTAATTGTTCTCTCACTCAGTTATCCACTAGCTGATTACCTCTTTAACCACCTATGGAAACTACCCCTTCTTGGTTTTTGATTTTTTAATAATTGTTTTCACCTCCTCTTTTCACACATAAGTTTGTGGAAAAATGTCTTCTATTGTTCTCATTTATACTTTGTTATATGTACTATGTTAAAATTTATTTCTTAATTCCAACTACATGTTTGCAAGAACCTGCTGACTGACTGAGTGTGCTCCAATATCTAGGATGAAGAGAGAACCCATATCACATAAAGGTAAGCTCCGCAATCAAGCTAAAGTTTTAGTTTGGAAGTTTTGCTTACTCATCCATATTTTAAGGTTGATAATACATGAGTAATACATTTGGCACCGGAGAATTGGATAATGAAGAAGAAGAGAATGGATTTTCTGATGATGGACACTTCATTGAAAAAGGAAACATTTATCTTCCAAAGGAACATATGTCGGGTTCTAAAGGAATAGAAGTTATTTGTTATGGTGCTAGTTCAAGTAATGCAAACGCCAAACCCCCCAAAAACCATGTTTCGAACTCACGACCTCTGCTCTGCCAGGTTTGACAGCGTCCGTCCTTTGCCAGTGGAGAAGTGCCCTGGGGGGCGTCTTCCTTCAATTCTAGTTTTATAGGATCCAGGACATATCAAAATGTGAAACACAATACTGCCGGTATAGAGAAAACAAGGCAAGGGGAAATGCAAATTCTTCTAAGTGGAAAATCAACGGCAAAGATAAAATGCTATGGATTCTCATAAATATTCCTCGATATTTCACATTTAACACTGTGAAGAGCATATTTCCTTAAAAAAAAATAAAAAATAAAAAATAAAAAAATTCCTCAAAAGTCTTTAGTAAAAGTCTCCACAAATCCAGGAAAAAGTTTTACTAATTCCTACCAAATTCATAGAAATTACTTAAAATCTCACAAAGTCCACAAAAGTCCCCCACTTAAAAAAGTCTCCAAATTTTTTTAAAAGTTTCAATTGAATACCCCCCCCCCCCCCAAAGAGTGTGTTTGGCACGGAGGCGGTGACGTATCCAGAATTTGAGTGTGCACGAACGATTGTCGATCGTAATAAATTATTAAAAATTAAATATAATAATTATTTTGTTAAAATTGAACATATTTTGTTGTACTAAAATTCACCAAATGACGTAGTGGCCATGTTTTATATAATTCAAAAAAAGAGCAAAGATTCGAATCCTCGCAATTGCATTAAACCCACTTAATAGCATATATATTACGTGCAATTGTCGGTGCTCGTCAAGTGCTGGATTTACCATTGCACAAAGGAACATGAGATGACACATGGAAAGAGGAAAATCTTCGCGTTTGATTTAAAAGTAAGAAAAAAAATTTAAGAAAAAAATAAATAATCTTTTGAGAATGTTTGATTTAAATTGACCGTGGAAGAAGTGATTCTTAAAAATATAAATCAAATAAGGTCTATTAAAAGAAAATGGAACAGATTCAAGGTCCATAAAAAATAAAAATAAAAAAATGTGAGACATGACGAGACGATAAGATCAAATTTTTCGGATTTAGTTTGCGTTTTCCTAGTTTTAAAATCATCATAATTATAAGTAAACATTAATATTCCTTTTATTTATTATTTATTTAACCAAATATTCAAAAATTGGACATGAAAATAAAATACATGTACCTTTTGGAGCTTAAGAATCCCACCTTTTAATGCCAAAGCATGTATTAGGCTATCAAAAATAGAGTCGATAAGTCATTTTTCATACCACCCGAGCATAGCTCAATGGTGCAAAGGATATGAGTGAAATTATCTCACGCCTTGCTGACAGCCGCAGTGTAGGAGTTCGATTCCTAAGACATAAAATTGGACTCCTTGTAGGCGCAGTATACAGGCAGCTCTTATTCCTATTGAGGCACACTCTGCGATTTACCTCCCTCACAAAACTCTAAGGACGAGACGGTAGGAGTCCTCAAGGTTGGGGTTCAACCTTTAATAAGTCATTTTTCATGCTTTCCCCCATAGGCGTGGCTTTTTTGCTTAGGTCATCTTTCACGCTTTCCCCATAGGCGTGGCTTTTTCGCTTAAGTCTGCCAAGGCCTAGCTTTTTTCGAAATCGAGTACATTACTCATTGTAACTATATTGAAAGGTAATGATTATAATACCCCTAAAAAAAATAGTTGATTCACAACAATATGATATTGAATTTCCCTTTATTTCTATTATATTTTCACATTTTCATTAATAATGATGTGACAAAGTTGTTGATCTATCTGAATATTACATATACTTTCATTTAACATGTTAACTTAATCTTATTTCGCTCCTAAAAATAAAATATATGCATGCAATTTATGGCCTACTACAGAGAACATCATCGATTATAACAAGTCAAGTGACCAAGTTGAACCACGAGGAAAAAAAAAAAAAAGAAAAGAGAGAGGCAGAGAGAGAGAGAGAGAGAGAGAGAGAGAGAGATGAGAGTGTGCAATTGATCAAGTCCAACCTCTTTCCAAGAACACGAATCTAAAACTTCAGTAACACTGTAAAAGTTAAATGGGAAAATATTACCTTTTAAAAAAGGTGCTTACACAAGTCTTAGCCAATCATACTTTTGTAAAACCATAATAGACAAACTCAAAACTGAATAGGCTAATAAAAAATCAGGTTCTTGTCTACACTTGCATATTTTACATATGCTTGGAGCTTTGGCAGCACTCGGTCTTTCCATTCCATGAGCATTGCAAAATCCCACCACTACACAACATCGGCAACTAGCTACCTGAAAACTGCAAAAACCGTTCATGAAATGAGCTTTATCTGTACAAGATAGGAACTTTCAAGTTATAAACTCAAAAGTAAAAGCAACATAAATATAAGTAACCGTGTGCATATGATTACACTACTAAACTTGGACATGATTAGTAAGGAAGATTGGATAGCAACATCTTACGCTAAAGTTTTCTTTCATTGTAGTATCTATTCCTATTCACTTCTGAATGCCAAATATGTGAGCCATCAATTTGTAACTAGATTAGGGTGGTACCTTGATACGAAGATTCCACTGAATCTTCAGTCAGTATCATCACATCTAAAATCTAGCTTCTCCTGGTTTTTACAGAAATTAAAGAAAAAAAGAACTAGAAAGAGAAAATGAGAGGCTCACCATCATCATGCAACGTCAACTCGAACATAATAAATATTGTGGCACAGCTGCTGAATCAAGCTCATAAGAACCATCTGGCAGGCTTCCATCCTGCTTGTCTTTCAAGCGAAAAGCAGGTATCCGATGGGAGAATTTAAGAATCTCAGTCAGTAGTATGGTTATTGGTTTGACCCCAACCCCCTTTTCTCCCACTCGAGACTTGAAAACAGACTTGTAACCACGCACTACCTCAAGAGGTGCACCAACTATAAATATGTCATCTACATCCAGAATCTCCACAATCTCGTATTTGCAGTTTTCCAATTCAGAAGGTTTCATTTTAACATTCCAGTGCTCATATAAAGCCCAGATCTGACCTACTTCAGGAAGTATGGTGAAACCATCCTCCTTATCCAGGGGGGATGGTTCTACTTTCAACTGGTGAGAAAATGGAAGAGTGCCAACTATTTTGTGTGTTTTCCCCTTTTCAACCATAAATTTTCCACAACATATTGGTATGCTTTTATCAACCCATCTTATCATGTCCCTTGACGACGGACAGTGAAGAAGCCATGCTACGTGAAAAGTACTCTCTGGAAGGCTGTCAATCTTCCTAATCTGACAATAGTACTTTGGTAAAGCATCCTCATCACTGTATACCGCCCATATCTGACCAACCTGAAACTTCTCTTTGGATTTGTCTGCATCAAAGTCGTAAAACTCCGGCTCAGGAATTTCCACAGAAACTGGTGCACCGTTGCAACTAGGATTTAGAGGCTCACTACAGGAAACACACATTTTAGACCTAATACATCTGCGAGGGTACCGCTTACCAAATCCTCCAAGGTTATTTCGTGTCAGATTATTGCCATCATCATCAAGTGTGTGACAACGTTCACTGGATTCAGATGCCATTTTTCTTTTCTTGCTATTTCTTTTTGAGCTGTTCATGTGATCATGCTTGTTAATTCTGGCATCCACATGAACAGTATATTTATTTGGCCTGGACTCATCAGTAACTTCCTTGTTTAAACATGAGTCTTTTCCATTGCCAACCAACTGTATGGAGCCTCCAGATGCAGTTTGTGAGCCAACTTTAAATGGGTGCCGGCTCGTGGAGTCTTTCTGTGGGGGAAAATCAGGCCAGTTCCAATTAGCACCTCCAGGTGATATCCGAAGAGAATTCATTTCATCTTCATCACTGGAGTTTCTACAGCTTTGACAAGTTAATATCCCGTCGGCTGCATGCTTAAAATACAGGACCCAACATGAACAAGATGGGCAACCAATCCAGGTTGGTTGGTTGAAATATAATCCTTGTTGAGTCGAACCAGTGTTACACTCCATCACTGATACAGAAGAGTCCCTGCAAATTCATATAATACACAATCTGATTCATGATCCATAATTAATGAAGATAAGTATAAAGCACAGAGATTTAACCCTCTAGTACTGGAGTCTCTACAGGTTTGACAAGTTAATATCCCATCGGCTGCGTGCTTGTCATACAGGACCCAGCATGAACAAGATGGGCAACCAATCCAGGTTGGTTGGACGAAATTTAATCCTTGTTGAGTCAAACCAGTGTTACACCCCATCACTGATACAGAAAAGTCCCTGCAAATTCATATAATACACAATCTGATTTATGATCCATAATTAATGATGATAAGCATAAAGCACAAAGGTTTTAATAGTGACTAATACTCTCCATATGCATGAAGTATCAAAAATTATTCATAAAAGATCAGGACCAATATCTTAGAACATGCAACTCACTACATTAAATATATAACCGTAGCATAATTATGGCATTAATTTTGATAAAGTAAACCAACCCAGCAATTATAGCATGCCTTAAAATTTACTTCAAAGCTCAAAACGATCTTAATCATTCTACACAGTTCATAGCAGAAATAAACGAGAATCCATGCAGGAAGATTAAGGGACTCAAGAAAAGTAATAATAATGGGTTGGCAAACCGTGTAAAACTTTGTCAGATTATAACATGAATCTTCAGAATATTTCATAAGGGTGTCCCTACTAGTGACACGATACATCAGACTCCGGGTGCAATAAAAAGTGTGAAAGGGTTAGCTATGGCATACGCCATAAGTTAACATTAGGATGACTCAAGTAGTAAGCAAGGATTCTCACGCTAGTCTATTCTAATAAATTAAGGAAATTTGGGATATAAAAACGCTCATAAGAAAATTCCCATAATTAGTAGGTGCAAGGTTTGATACGAGAGAATATAGCTTGCATACAGATCTGGAATGGGATAGGAGATGAGGTGAAAGAATTAAGAGCACAGGATACACAATTTGGTATATGTGTAAAGAAAAGATAAAAATGAGGTAGGAATAGTTATTGAGTCAAATGTTAAAATTAAAAGATGTAAGCTAAGCTGGTTGACAAGTTTGACCTAGTGTCTTCAAAATGTATGCTATGCATATAAAATTATACAAAGTAACAAAGAAACCATTTTGAGAAAAAGTGAGAGGGTTGGTTCAAGCAATCCCAGAAAAAGATAAACCTTTACTGGAGGAGATTTCATCAGAAATGTGACGAAAGGTAACTACGGATATGAAAAATGAACAAACTGTAGCCTCCAAAAGAAAATAACACTATTTTAAATTTTGGGATAGCTTATTATTTGGCTTTAGTGGATACATATTTCCTAAAATAAGACTCCCACTTAATAATCATTAAAAGGTAGCAAAAATTCAGGGATTTCATCCTTGCTCAGAAAAGTGATTAGTTCCTTGAGCAAAAAGATTGAAAAGCTATGGTGAACACCTAACTATACAAGACACTTGTACTTATGTAGTTATAGGAAAATGGAAATAAATACAAATAGATGGAGCCTATATGGTAAAAGCATTTTGAACGAATGAAAATGAGATGTAGCCTATCTAAAAACTGATTTTTTTCTAGAACTCATTTTCAATCACACATTCTTATATACAATAATTTTACACGTAAACTAAAAAAAGAAAATTAACCATAAATTCTCCTAAAAT